TGTGTGTGTGAATTCAATGGGTTCTTCAACTTCTAAGGATCTCAATCACATGATCTCTAATGAAGAAGGTTCTACATCGGAACACTTAAATGTTATGATGCCGAAGTCTTCATCACGAACAATATACAGGAGAGTTAAAAGTTTTCATGTGGCATATATGGCGTTACTTGCTCGGCTAGAATTAAATTTTAATATTTATTTAAATTTCATGATCTTTACTATAAAGGCCAAAAATACCCTTTTACTTGGATGGAACTAAAAGTTGCACACACAAAATTAATCAAATTGACTTACATATGCAAAATACTTGCCATTTCTTCAGCTTACATTTATTGGAAAATTGAGAACATTCCGAACATGGAATTTTAAAGGAAAAGAGCTGAATTAACAATTTTGCCTTTATTAGTGTGCCATGGTAGTCAAGCGACATAAGTCAAGTTAATGAAGTCGAGATTAGTGCCATAACAGTGTTTCAACACTCTTTTAGCGAAGGAAGAGGAAAAGCATCTCATAAGTTTCCTTCATACTTATAAGAGGGTGAGAGATGGAATGAAGAAAGATTTGTTTGAAATAATGCATTTAGCAATATTTTCTGACAAATTTGTAAAATTTACACCTCTTCACTTTGTAAAATTTACACCTCTTCACTCATTTGATGAGAAATTGTGAATCATGCTAACCCGGAAACCTTGTATGGCTCTTCTTCCAATTAAATATATCTTAGTCAAGGTATACATGTTTATATCAACAAGAGCATTTTGGTTTGTCAAACAAGGGTTTTCATAAATATTCAATCCCACAGTTAATTTTAATAATTTTGATATTGGTCATCAATTGAGTTGTTAGCTTTTGTTTCATATTTTTGTTGATTATGTACTACACCAGGGGATTGTTCATTGGTAACCTTCTCTATTGTGAACTTGATTTATGATTTATCCCAAGTTTTATAGAATATTGCACACCGAGAGCAAAGTGAGAAATCACGTAGTGGTATTTTGGTGAGGCTCACAAGTGTGACTAAAAACAATTCTACAAATTAAAGAACAGGTTATACTAAATTAACCACGTGATAGAAAGGTCCTAATAATTTATTATGCCAATGAAGTTTTTGTAGTTATGGTTTGGGATGTGATTCAACCACTTAACATATTTCAATTTTGTACCTTGATATGGATGCCTTTGTTCGTGTCTATTATTATGTGATTGGACACTTGTATCTTTGTAGGTCCAATAGATGCTTTCTTGTGGCTTTGGGTTTTTATCCTGTGTTTGTAAAGATTCCCCTGCTCACGGAAAGGGGGATGTTACATATAGACTTGCCATGAGGACCATCGCTTACCCAAGGATCTTTATGGAGTAGAAGTAAGTTGTCGAGGACCAACCTACAAAAATTGGAGCCTGGGCTCAAGGCCTAAATAGTGATATCTTAATCCTACCTAGTATAAATATATATATATATTTAAATTCGAAGACACATGAGATGAACTATTCTTACAATGCTATGTATTTCATTTTGAAGACACCTGAGAAGAACTATCCTTGCAATGCCAAAATACCTTTACCAGAAATTGAAAATGAGGGGGGTGTGTGTGTGTTCATGCAATAGTCAGGTTTTACAAAAAGGAGCTGAATCAATCACACTAGCACCCTTCCATACACAAGTAGCAGAGATTTACATGCATAAAGGAGAGCAATTCCACAAAAATAAAGACTTCTTTGAGAATGTCTGACATACCAGTTTACACTGAAATGTTGTGAAAAACCAGAAGGTGTAGTATTCCCTCCCTGAATCACCAATGTCCATAATTGCTTCATTCTTCAACCCATAGAAAGGATCTGGAATGAGGTTGTTCTTTACAAGGGTTGCTAAAACACTGCCAATAAAATGATCTCAGCCTATGCATGCAATAAAACAAATGAACAAATGTAGGCAACGTAATTTATATAATCTTCATATGAAGGAAAAATGACAAAATAGTGGCAAGTGAAAGAAGTGATTTTGGTCGTAGCAGTTGAATAGTACCAAGACCCTTACAAACAGGGATCTCCTGCAGAAAGCAACTAGATGAAGCGTTTCAATGTTCTGATCATTCACAAAAATTTTAACTGGACAATGTCTGCTGAGACTTCCATTTAATATTTCATCGAGCCCTACTTCACTCAATCAATCTCCGAACCTGAGCCTTGTTAGACTCAGCAGAAGTGTAAGCTGTAAGTGAAGAGCTGCATCCAGAGGGGAGTACGTTCGATGGAATAATTTCTTGGAAATGGACTGACTACCGGGGATATTTGTGTTACTTCGTCTAGGCAACTATCCGACAGCTTCCACTTCCAGTCTTAGGTCTCTTCTAAGCATAATTCATAAACTATGCAATGGCTATTTGAAGACTTCTTAAAAAGTTTATAGCAGAGCAAAAACAATTAAAAAGGCCTCCATTTATGCTCAAAACTCCATATTTTTTTAATTCTGATTTCATTTTCATGGGTAAGATTAAATTCTTAGTGTTAACTCATATACCTTACTTCACATTTGACGAAAGAAGACAAATGATTTATAAGCATTAGTTTTTAATTTGGTAAGATATTTAGGAAAGCACCATGCTGCCACTTCAGATGTAGAAACCTCCTGTATAGGAGATGATAGAAAAGAATATAGTAACACTCCCTCTGTCCCAAAAGAGGATGTTGCGACATCTTATATACAAGTCCAGTGAGTACTTGCCAAATGCAAAATTGATTAGGGCTTTTTATTGCAAATTCAATCTGGTATTATTCTATTTCTTGTACTTGCTCCAGTTAAGTCTAACTTACTCCCTCTTCCCAAATACCTGCCAAATTTTTACTCGACACATGGTCTAGTACACCCATGTGATGAAACTGAAAGCCTTTTACTTGTGTTCATACATGATACACCTGAAGTACCCCTCAATAACAACAAATACAGGAATCTTATGTTTAAACATCAACTGTCCAAATACAGTGTAATAATAACTAATTAGCAAATTGGTACTTTTCCATTGAAACTTCACCAAAGAAACATCTACCAAATATGAAATTGTACACTTAGCAATACAGAGGGAGTTTCTAGCATGATAAGATAGGTAATTTGGGGAACCAAAGCCAATCATTTGCATTTGGTAATGATTAAATGAACAGTAAGTTTATCTCCAAGTTTTGCCCCGATAAAGAAACTTAGGTCATCTAGAAACAGAAACCGTCGCAACTATTTTCAGATGGAGGAAGTAACTGACAGATTTTTGTCTAAAAGTTCACAGGAAAACAATGTCGTTGTTGCAGTTGAGTGGGATCAGTTAGACATCCAAAATGTTTCCAAAGAGAAACAAAGGTTGGCTTTCAAGCTAAATTTGGACAAACTAGTGGAACAAAACCTACATTTAACACAGTTCAAGCTGAATCTGTACAAACAGAGAGAAAAGAGGTTTCCATACGTTCCGGGAATAACAGCAGGCATCCAAGGAGAAGCGTCGGAAGAAGGAGGATGAGTAGTCGTCAGCTGTATTCCGGTGAGTTCAACATCAGTAGATCGAGCAGCCAACCATCCTTCCTCCAGAACCTTCTTCCCTTGCTCTTCCCCCATTTTTGAAGTTCAATTGCAGCAGCAGCAGCTGCAGCTTGTATTATATTGATGCATATAGAAACCCTACTAATTTTTCATAAATTGAAATGCAAGCTGCACCATTACCAATTTGTTCATTGTCGGTTGATTTTGTCTCTTGTGCTAGCTGTCACTTTGTTTACTGCGACGGAGTACTTGAAGCTGAGGATTGTTAATGGCGGCCATTCATCAAATCTTCAAACACCTGTTTTTTGGACTTAATTTTTCAATCATTACTTCTTCGTGACGTTGAATTCTGTTATTTTTATTCTAAATAACTTATTTTTAAAATTTTCATCCTAGAAAATGTAGTATATTTTTTTATACAATTAATTAAACATATATTTATATTATATCGTAAAGCACATTTGATAAAAAAAATTAAAAATCATTTTTTATGCATAAAATATTGTTTATTAATATATATTACTTAAAATTTAAGATTAGAAGTAAAATTGTACGTAAATATAACTTATTAAATCTCTATTTTTGAATTCGTATAAATAACTACGGATAAAAATAATCAAATACAGGATAAACATCTCATTTTAAATATAAAATATAATTAAGATAATCATTAACTTTTAACAAAATCATTATCTTTATAAAAATTATATTGTTAAGTCAAAAATAAATTACTTCACTGTTAAACCTAAATTAAATTATAATAAAAAATTAAATTAAAAAAATTGTAAAAAAACCGAAAACTTTTAGATAGTTAATTTGATATTACTATCGATATATTTTTTCAAATTTTTATGATAGCTTCAAATTTATTTTTATTACACTTTAATATCATCTTTCTCAAAACCACATAAACTGTATTATTATCAACAGAGATAAAAAAAATAAAACATTAAAATGAAGATGCATCTCGCTGCATTGACGAATACCCTTCTAGTTATGAATTCACGCATGGTCTTCTCCTTTTGGACCCAGGTAAGTCTTCTACCCCCTCTTCTTTTAATTTTGCTCTCCCCTCCCATGCTTCTACTGGTTGTGTTCCCTCCCCCCTTCACCCTTGGGCCCCTCCTCCTGTGCATGGTATGTTGAATTTTAATTTTCCCCTAATTTCTGCCGCCTCCAAACACTCTAATTCTCTTGGTAGTAATTGTGGTGCTCCTTTGCAAATTAATGATTTGTCTTGCCCTTCCATGGTTTTGGATTCAAATATGGTTGAGCAAATCCAAATTGATCCTATTGATAATGCCGTTTCTCCTTCTATTCCTTTAGATGAGCAAGTCCAAAATGAACCTATTGTTAAAAAGAAACTTGTCTCGGCTTGGAATGGAAAAAATACCCCTATCCTCCCTAACTCTTATGCTAATATTCTTAGTGGTTCTCAAAAACATGTTGATGCTAATTTTCACTTCATTCCCAATGTTTCTGATAATTTGAATGAGCCTGTTGAAATCCCGCTTTCGGTTGTGGAAAAAAGTTGTGTTAAATATGCTAAAACTTTATGTGGTTATTTCATTGGAAAGCGTCTCCCGTTCCCTTTGGTCCGGTTTTATGCGTCTAAGTTTTGGRATCAATTTGGCATTGAGGATGTGCTTCTTAATGGTCACGGCATTTTTCTTTTCAAATTTAATTCTGAGGATGGCCTCCAAAMAGTGCTTGACAATGGTCCTTGGACKTTCAAAAATGTCCCTATYTTTATTCAAAAATGGAGGCCGGGCCTAAATCTTCACTCTAACTCTCATGACAGTATTCTTATTTGGATTAAAATTCATGATATCCCCTTTGATGTGTGGAATGATGAGGGTCTAAGCCATATTGCTAGTAAAATTGGTAAACCTCTAGCTATGGACTCTTGGACCGCGAATATGTGTCAGTATGCTGCAGGTAAATCTGCTTTTGCCAGAGTCTTACTTGAAGTCTCTGCTAGGAAAAATTGGCTTGATGAAGTTAAGGTTCGTATTCCTGACCCTGACTCTCTTAATTTGTCGTTACACTCGTTGAGAATTGAATATGAATGGAAACCCCCTGTTTGCTCCCATTGCAAGGTTTTTGGTCACTCTGACTCTATGTGCATCCATGTTACCCCCAAAGAATTTGAAAGGAAAGAAAAATCTGTTGAAAATGAAAATATGTCTGTTATTGATAGTGAAGGTTTCCAACCTGTCAAAAAGAAAAGCACCCAGTTTGTTAAAAAGGATCCCCCCTCCTCTTCGGAGAGTAGAAAAATCCAAAAATCTTCTAAAAGTTCCTTTGCGTTGGCCCCCCCTCGCAAGGTTTATCGTCCCGTGGAAAAAAAGCTTGCCTCCCCGGCTAGTTCCCCCCCAGTTACCAATCCCCCCCATATGGGTTTCCCCTCTGCCTCTAGACCTGCCTTTCCTCCTAAATCCATTACCCTTAAACCTCACCTCCCAAAACCCTCACACCCTCCACCTCCCCCTCGGATTAATGCCAAGGCCCCTCTCTCTTCGTCCAACCGCTTCTCCATTCTTGCTGACTCTTCTCAGCCTTCTGAGCCTGAGTCTTCCCACCTCCCTCCGCCTGCCTCTTTCGTTCACTCCGAGATTGAGGATGACCCCCTTGATCAGGATGACCTCCTGGATGAGGACGATATGATTGTGGTCGAGTCTGATGATGGCGAGACTGCTAGGTTTATTTCCAGTGATTTCACTCCCTCCCAGGTCGATCCTTTGACATCTCAGGAGCCTGAGTAGTTGGTCGTGGGTTTCCCCCCGTGGTTGTTGTTTGTTTCGTGCTGTGCTTTCCTTTGGGTTGGTCTAGGGTGCGCCTGTTTTTAGGCCCCTTCTCCTTTTCCTCTGTTGTTGCCCTTCGTTTGCTCAGGTTTTGCCTGCCTGGGCCTTTCCCTTGTGGTTAGTTTCTTTTCTTTCCCTTCTTTCCTTTCGGGGCTCCTTGGCTTTTTCTGGTGGATGTGGTTCGCCCCCACCCGAGCGCGTATTTTGTCTTGCTTTTTAGCGTTTAAGTGTTTTTTATTGATCTGGAGGGGTCACCCCCCTCCCTATCAAAAATATATAAAGTCTTTTTTTACTTTAATTATCTTAAAAAATAAGAGTTCTTGGTTTCGGCTCAACCCCTCCCAGAAATATTTGTTCCCTTCATTTATCCATTCTATTTCGTGTTTACTGGAGAAATGAGAATGTTTAACGAGGATAGATGCAGGATGGTGTAAGATCCAGTTTTGTCAATTTTACAATAGTGATCATTTATCTTTATTTATAACAAAAAAAAAACCCTTCATCAATTTGTATCAGATTTAGGGTCTGTTTACCAAAATTTAAGGGTAAACGTGGACTGGGATAAGAGGTATGAGTGGAGTAAGATCTCTTATTAAGATAATTGTTGACCGAAAGTTGTTGTTTACCAGATATTTTGTACTAAGCATTGACCAAGTAAAATGACCATTATGCCTTTATGTGTAGAGTAAGTGTTGACTATAAAATCTTGTTAACCAAATGTTTATATTATGTGTCGACTAAAAAACTGTAAATGACCATTATTCGGTTTCACGGCTCAAATAGTTCTAATAATCAACTTTTAGACACATAAAATGTTTTCAAAAAACGACCTTTAAGGGCTGTTTACCAAACACTTACCTGGTAAGCGCTTACCGATAAAATTTAACACTATTATTTACTTACTGGGTAAAATTTTAGTCCACAAAAATGGTAGCATATGCAACAATTCACCTGGTAAGCGCTTACCGTGATAAGAGTCATCGTCCTCACTTACCGGGTATGACTCTTGGGTGTCGTTTACCAAACGCTTACCCGGGTAAGCGTTTATCAAGTCACTTTTCTTTACTGGATGAATATGGCAAGAAATAAAAATCTTACCCGGTAAGAGCGAAGGCAAGAATCGAGAGTCTTACCCGGTAAGTGAGGACGATAACTCTTACCATGGTTAGCGCTTACCGGGATAAACTATTGCATACGATGCGTTTTAGTGAATAAAATATTACCCGGTAAGTAAGCGATAGTGTTGAATTTTACCGGTAAGTGCTTACCGGGTAAGTGTTTAGGTAAACGTCCCCTTGGTCTCTGTCTCGCTCTTACCGGGTAAGATTCTTGGTCCTTACCATATTCATCCGGTAAGGTAATGTGACTTAGTGTTCACTTACCCGAGTAAGCGTTTGGTAAACGGCCCCTTAATCTCTAACCATGGTAAGTTTCATTTCCATATCTGATTGTGGACAGCACACGGTCAACACTTGGAGTCGTTTTTCTTTTTGATAAAGATCTAACCTTTTATTTGGATAAGAGATAAGAGATTCTTATCTAAGTAAGAGATAGTAAGAGACTAGTAAATGGACCTTTAGTCTCTTACACTAACGGTCCTCCAACATATCCAATAATTATGGGAGTAAATTAGTCTTTTTAATATTTTTTATATTTAACCATTTTTTTCAAACACGAAGACTAAATGTAACACCCCCAATCCATACATTGCATATAACACATATATTATATATAGAATACATGTTTCCTTCCACATAGGTCCATAATACAAAAGTCTTTAATGTGAATTACACAACTCAAAAATTCCCAAAAGTACATGTTTCTTGTCTCGACTCTTCAAAACATAGTTAATCAAGCTCTTCATATTGCAAAACACACAGGGAAGTAATTCACATAATGTTTTTTCCCTTATTCTCATTACCTGCACACATATTTTTGAAAACACAAAATGAGGGTCAGACATCAATGTCTAGTGAGGTTCCCTTTTTATGTAATGCAGGGTGAAGATCATCAAAACATTTATTTCAAATAATCCATAGGTAGCAAACACTGAATCATATTCCATTTCGGTCCATCGGGCCTCTGGTTCCAAGCATCATACTAATCACAACCAGATCCTCTTTGGTTCCTCTACCAGAGCTGCTGGTTCCTCAGCTAGAGCCTCTGGTTGCACTAACCAGAGTTTTTGGTTCTTATAAAATTTCTTAAATGTTCTTTAGCTAAGTTTCCAACCAATGAAATAACCTTTTTCATAAAAGAATAGTGATACAAAGTTCTTACTCGACCAGAGCCTCTGGTTGTACTAACCAGAGCTTCTGGTTCAAAAGTTATGACCAACCAGAGTCTCTGGTTCAACGTGTGAGTCGACCAGATCCCCTCTGGTC